CGGCGCGAGCTGGGAGGGGGCAAAGGAGCCGGGGGGGGGAAGGTGGTATTTGCAGCGTTGCGCTCTTGCACGCTCCTGTGCACCTTTGCATTTTTGCATCGCCCTTTGCACCTTTGCCCTTTTTTTTTTGCGCTCTCTTTTTTGCATCTCTGCATTTTTTGCGTTGCTTTTTGCACCTTTGTAATCCTGCGCCGATGCCATTTTGCGTTGCCTTTTTTGCACCTCTGCCTTCTTGCACTGCTTTTTTTGCACCTTTGCATTCTTGCGTTGCTTTTTTGCACCTTCGCATTCTTGCACCGTTGCCATTTTGCATTGCTTTTCTTGCACCTTTTGCCATTTTGCATTGCTTTTTTTGCATCTTTTTGCACCTTTGCCTTTTTGCGTTGCCTTTTTTGCACCTTTGCATTCTCGCACTGCTTTTTTGCACCTTCGCATTCTTGCACCATTGCCATTTTGCGTTGCTTTTTGGCTCCGTTGCCATTCTTGCATTGCTTTTTGCACCTTTGCATTCTCGCACTGCTTTTTTGCACCTTCGCATTCTTGCACCATTGCCATTTTGCGTTGCTTTTTGCACCTTTGCCTTTTTGCGTTGCCTTTTTTGCACCTTTGCATTCTCGCACTGCTTTTTTGCACCTTCGCATTCTTGCACCATTGCCATTTTGCGTTGCTTTTTGCACCTTTGCCTTTTTGCGTTGCCTTTTTTGCACCTTTGCATTCTCGCACTGCTTTTTTGCACCTTCGCATTCTTGCACCATTGCCATTTTGCGTTGCTCCTGCACCTTTTGCCATCTTGCTTTGCTTTTGGCACCTTGACATTCTTGCGTTGCTTTTTGCGTCGTTGCCTTCCTGCTCTCTTTTTTGCCTATTTGCAGTTTTGCATTGCTTTGGCAGGTTTGCATTCCTGTGCTGCTTCTGGCATCTTTGCATCCTTGCATCGCTTTTTGCGCCGCTGCGTTCTTGCGTTCATTTTTTCATCTTTGCATTTTTTGGCATCGGTTTTGCCATTTTATATTCTTGCATTCTTTTCTGTATCTTTGCGTTCTTGAATTGTTTTTGCAGTTTTTCCTGCGTTCTTTTCTGCTTCCTTGCATCGGTGCAGTTTAGCTTTTTCTTTTCCCTTTGGCATTTTCGCATTGTTTCCTGCTTTTTTACGTTCTTGCCTTATTTTTTGCGTTTCCACTTTTTGCGTTACTCTGCATCTCCACATTTCTGCATTCCTTTTTACATCTGGGCGCTTCTGCATCGCCTCTCGCTTTTTTTTTTGCACTATTTGCATTCCAATTTGCATTGGGCTTTTGCATCTTTGCGCTGCGGCGTTGTTTAGTGCATCTTTACATTTTGGTGTTTCCTTTCGCATTTGTGTGTTGGTTGTTTGCTGCTTTTTCAATTTTTGCATTACTTTTTGCACCCTTCCATTTCCGCATCATTTTTTGCATCATTTTTTGCATCCTTCCATTTTTGCATTTATTTTCTTGCACCCTTCCACTTCTGCGTCCTTTTTTTGCACCCTTCCATTTTTGCATCGTTTTTTGCATCCTTTCATTTTTGCATCTCTTGATCTTTGTGTTCCATTTTGCATCTTCCCATTTCTGCATCCTTTTTTTTGCCTCTTTCCATTTTTGTGTTACTTTTTGCATCTTTCAATCTTTGTATTACTTTTTTCATCTCCCCATTTCTGCATCGTTGAGGTTTTTTTGCATCTTTCCATTTCTGCACTACCTTTTTGCACCCTTCCATTTCTGCATCCTTTTTTGCATCCTTCCATTTTGGCTTTTTTTTTTTGTTTTCCTTGCACCCTTCTACTTCTGCATCCTTTTTTAGCATCTTCTCCTTTCTAGACTACTTTTTTGCATCTTCCCATTTCTGCATCACTTTGTGCATCCTTCCATTTTTGCATCATTTTGTGCATCTTCCCATTTCTCCATCCTTTTTTTGCATCTTCCCATTTCTCCATCTTTTTTTTTTTTTGCATCCTTCCGTTTTTTGCATTTATTTTCTTGCATCCTTCCACCTCTGCATCCTTTTTTGGGGGTTGTTTTTTGGGTTTTTTGGGTTTTTTTGCACCTTTCCATTTCGGCATGGGTGTTTGGTTGGGTTGGGGGTTTTTTGCCTGGTTTCTCACGCCCCCCGCGCCCCGCAGGGTCTCCATCCGCCTGCCCAGCAGCAGCGGCTCGGAGGGCGTCCCCTTCCGCTCGGTCCCCGAGTGGCTGGAGTCCATCCGCATGCCCCAGTACACCGAGCACTTCATGGCCTCGGGCTACAGCACCATCGAGAAGGTCCTGCAGATGACCAGCGAGTGAGTCACGTCCCCACGGGGTGTCCCCTTGGGGTGTCCCCATTGTGTCCCCAAGTTGTGTCCCCGTGGTGTCCCCAAGTTGTGTCCCCATGGTGTCTCCTTGGTGTCCCCAAGTTGTGCCTCCACGATGTCTCCTTGGTGTCCCCAAGTTGCGTCCCCAAGTTGCGTCCCCATGGTGTCCCCAAGTTGTGTCCCCATAGTGTCTCCTTGATGTCCCCAAGTTGTGTCCCCATGGTGTCTCCTTGGTGTCCCCAATTTGCATCCCCATGGTGTCTCCTTGATGTCCCCAAGTTGCGTCCCCAGGCTGTGTCTCCTTGGTGTCTCCACACCGTGTCCCCTGTGGTGACTTCACGCTGCCTCCTTGGTGTCCCCATACTGTCCTCATACTGTCCCCATGGTGTCCCCATGCTGTGTCCCTGTGGTGTCCCCATGGTGTCTCCTTGGTGGCCCAAGTTGCACCCCCATGGTGTCCCCATGGTATCTCCTTGGTGTCTCCATACTGTCTCCATGGTATCCCCTTGATCTCCCCATGGTGTCCCCACGTTGTGTCCCCTAGATCTCCCCTTGGTGTCCCCATGGTGTCCCCACGCTGCCCCTATGGCATGTCCCCACACCGTCCCCTCGCAGCCCCCATGGGGACAGGGACGCGCCGGGAAGGGAACTCGCTCCGGCAGCGTTGGTGGCCCGAGGGATGGGGGAAACTAGACGTTCCCGGCCGGGATCCGCCGCGGGGAGATCGGGACGAGCCGCGTCCGTCTGTCTGCCCCCGGGAGGGACCCGGCGGGGGGCAGGCAGCCACAGGTCCCCCAAAACCAGAGGGCTGGAGCTGCCCCTGCTCCCCCCTGGACCCTTTTTTGGGCTTTTTCTACTCCAAATAACTCTTTTTTTTTTTTTTTTTCTGTTCTTTTCCGCCAGCGACATCAAGAAAATCGGGGTGCGCTTGCCGGGGCACCAGAAGCGCATCGCCTACAGCCTGCTGGGGCTGCAGGAGCAGGTCGGCTCCGGGGGGGTCCCTATTTAGCACCCCCCCGCGCCCCCAGAATACTTGAAAGCAAAGAAATGAAGACCCCCTCCTCTTCCTCCCCGAGGGGTTTATTTATTATTTCTATTATTATTAAGGGTTTTTTTAATAGTATTATTATTAATATTATCCCCGGGGTTGGGGACGAAACGGGTGTCACCCCCATCCACCCACCCCCCGAAAAAAAAAAAAAAGACAAAAATTAAATTTCAAGCTCGTTTTGGGCTGGGGGAAGGGGTGTTTTGGGGGGTTTTCCTCTTTTTTTTTCCACATTTCAAGAAAAAAAAAAAGGGCCCAGCCCCAAAACTGGCTCATTTTTGCTTTTTTCCTCCCTATTTATTCCTCTCCCGCCGGGTTTTGGGTGTTTGGTTTTTGGTTTTTTTTCCCCTTTAACGCTGATCTGTCAGTGTTACCTTTTCCTTTTATTTTTTAACCTAATTTATTCTATTTTTGTATATTTATTGCGACGAAGCAAAGGTAGCGTCAGATACGGGAGAGCAAAAAGGGGGAAAATTTAAAGAAAAAAACCAAACCCCCCTCTTCCTCTCCCCCCCCCCCCTCCTCCCTTTTTTCGTGGATTTTCAGGGGTTTGGGGGATTTTCGTAGGGTTTTGATTCAAATAAAAATATACTTGGTTGGTTTTTTTCTATAAAATCGTTGTTTCCCCCTGGCTTGCGGTGATAGCAGGAATTTGGGGGGCAAAGAGGGATGCCAGGCTTAAAACCAGGTTAAAACCAACCTTAAAACCAGGTTTGCCCCTGGGTTTAAGGGGTTTTAAAGAGGTTTTAAGGGGTTTTAAGGAGGGGGTTAAGGGGGTTTTAGGATTTTTAAGGGGGTTTAAAAGATTTTGAGGGGTTGTAATGGGGTTTTAGGATTTTTTAAGGGGGTTTAAAGCGTTTTGAGGGGTTCTAAGGGCCTTTTAAGTTTTTTTTAAAGGGGGTTTATAAGGGGGTTTAAGGAGGTTTTTAAGGCATTTCAAAGTTTGGGGGTTTTTAAGGAGGTTTAAAGTGGGTTTTAGGGGGTTATGGGGGTTTTTAAGGGAGTTTTAAGGGGTTTTGGGGGGTTTTAAGCAGTTATTGGGATTGTTAAGGGGGTTTTTAAGGGGGTTTTAAGGGACTTTTAAGGGGTTATGGGTGTTTTTAAGGGGATTTTAAGGGGTTAGTGGGGGGTTTAAGGGGTTGCACGCAGCTCAAGGAGCATTTCCCATCTGGGGCCTCTTTTCCTGAGCAAAACCCACAAGGAATTTGGCTTTTTTTCCCCCGAATTTAAGCAGTTATTGGGATTGTTAAGGGGGTTTTTAAGGGGGTTTTAAGGGACTTTTAAGGGGTTATGGGTGTTTTTAAGGGGATTTTAAGGGGTTAGTGGGGGGTTTAAGGGGTTGCACGCAGCTCAAGGAGCATTTCCCATCTGGGGCCTCTTTTCCTGAGCAAAACCCACAAGGAATTTGGCTTTTTTTCCCCCGAAGCCAACCCCGAGCCGTGGCGGCAGCGGGGCCGGCTGCCCGGTGCCTGCAAATAACTGGGTGGAAAAAAGCCGGAAAAAGGTTTGGTTTCCCCCTCCGCCACCAAAACCATAAAAAAGGAGGGGGGTGGTTTAGTGAGGGCCAGCATCTTGCTGCGAAAGCTGCTCTTTGGGTGGGTTTTGCCGTATTTCGGGGCTTTGGGGCCTGTGGATGCCCCACGCGTGTCACAAGTTTGCTGGTCTCAGCCCCACCTCTGCCCTCGGTCCCGG